CAATAAGCGTCGTCAATAGGCGTCGTCGCCTGTACCTCCACATCAGTCTGTATTTATGGCTGAAACCGGCCAATCATATTACTGTGAGGGGGAACCCAGGTGTATGCGTATTCATTACATCACCTCCCCCTGAGCTAAATTTTCCCGTGAAATTTAGCTTCAATATTTTCTCTTTTTAGGGCCTGGACTTAATTGATTAATTTTTTTCCTAAGTCTATTTCGCCTCAATCATCTTTGCAGTAGTGACGTTTGGCACACTTGTACCCCTGGCCTTGAGGTCGGGGATACCTCCATTAGCGAATGTTGACTTTCTGGAACGGGAATTTCAAATGCGTCATACAGCACTTCCCTTGCAATCTCTTTTCCGTGACCTCTGTAGTGTGTCTGGGTCTCAATTGATTCCAACGTCTTTTGAACCGAAATTTTCCCCCTTTTATGTCATACATGACCTGTCCAATTCTTTTGTTTATCATTCCTTCTTCCCAATACATTTTTCCAGCCCTAAAGTTCTTGAAAAAAATACGCTTTAGTCATCTGGTTTTCTTTTCTAGCAGTTTTCTTCGCTGGACTCGGCAACAGCCTGTCGAACACAGAGCGTATTTTTCTCGCAAACATTAACTCTGCTGGCGATAACCCTGACGTCGTATTCGGGTTTGGCTTGATTCTATATACTGCCAAAAAATTCTAAATACTTCTTTCATTCGTGTCCACGCTTTGGTTTTTCTTCAGCGCTCATTTAAATTTGTCCACGAATTTTTCCGCCTGTCCATTCGATCTTGGATGATATACTGGCGTTGTCACGTGATCAATGGACAATGATCTACAGAATTCCGTGAATTCTCTTCCCGTAAACTGCGTTCCGTTGTCGCTGACTAAAGTTTTAGGGAGTCCAAAGCGACTAAAAATTTCATTAAGTGCGTTTATTGTATTTGTTGCAGTCGGATGTCTGCACTTAACAATTTCTGGCTACTTAGTAAAACTATCTACAATGATCAGGTAATAAGATCCATTTATGGGCCCTGCATAGTCGATATGCAATCGAGTCCAAGGGGCATCTCTCTTTGGCCGTGGTTGAATATTTACCGGTGGATCCCTTGCTGCCAGTTGACATCATCTGCACTGTTTCACCAAATTTTCTATGTCTTGGTCTATCCTCGGCCAATAAGTATAGCTTCTCATTAGAGATTTCATTCTCGAAATCTTCGGATGGCCAGTGTGGAATTCTTTCAGAATTTTCTTTTGCAAAGTAACCGGCATTCTAACTCTATCTGCGTATAGTAATACCTGTTCGCAGATTGACAAAGGTGATACATTCATTTTTTTAGTTTTTCGTTCAACCAGACGTGCTTTTTCATTTTTTAAAGAAATCATCGTTCACTGTTGCTTTTTTTCACATCTTCTAGAGTAACCGGTAGTTATCTAATAGTGTTGCATAACAGACCCAACAATTCACTTTCGTCTCTTTACCGCCGCTATAACTGTTTCTTCCAGTGGTTCCGTATATTTAGGTATCAATCTTGATAACCCATCTGCGTGACCTAGCTTATTTGAAGGCACATATTATATTTTTAGATTATAATTCAATAGAATTACCCCCCAACGCTGTAGTCGATTTGCCGTGTGAGTTGGTATACCTTTTTTGAACCAAATATTGTTAACAGCGGTTTGTAGTCTGTTTGCAGAATAAATTCTTCCGTATAGGAACCTGTGAAATTTTTTTTACAGCGTAGATTATTGCTAAACTCTCTTTATCGATTTGACTAAGTTCGTTCCGCGGGCAGTAACGTTCTCGAGGCATGTGCTATTGGCTTCGTAGATCCGTCCTCGAATTTATGAAACAATACCGCACCTAATCCCTCATTACTGGCATCTGCTGCTACAATGATTTTCCTCTTCGGGTCAAAATGCGCTAACGATAGGTCTGCTAATAGACAGCTTTTTATTTTTTAAAAGCCTGTTCGCATTCTTTCGACCATATCTACTTTACGCCCTTTTTCACCAAATTAATTATAGGAGCTCTCGTATCATACATTTTTGGGATATAAATGCTATAATAACTTACTAATCTCAAGAAGGCCTGGAGTTTAGCCACATTATCAGGTGCTGGCATATTTTTTATATCCTCAACCCTTTCTGGATCCGGTTTTCTTCTTTTACTGTCGATGGTCTGCCCCAAATATTTTATCTTCTTTAAGAAGAACTCACATTTTTCAGCACTCAGCTTGAACCCGTATTCCTCAATTCTCTAAAATACCGCTCTAATATGCGTTTTGTGTTGGGCCTCGTTTTCACTTTTAATCAAAATATCATCTAATTATGCGATTGCATACTCCATACCAATCAACATTGTGTCCATTATTTTCTGGAATTGGCTTGGAGCTACCTTCAATCCAAAAGGAAGACGATTTAGTTTAAAAATCCCTTTGTGCGTGTTTATCGTTAGGTACTTCGAACATTCTTCACTGACTTTAACCTGAAGGTAAGCCTCCGACAAGCCCAACTTTGAAAACACTCTACCTCCGTTTAATTTAGTGAATATATTCTCCGGAGACGGTAGAGGGTAAGCATGGTCTTTCACACAATCATTTAAGCCTGTCAAAAAGTCAGCACACACTCTGATTTTTCAGTTTTTCTTTTTTATATATACGTTTGGAGACGTCCAATCCGAGTAATCGACTTTTGAAATTACGCCAATTTTCCCCAACTTTCTAATTCCTCATTTATTGTGTCTAGTGCTGAAAATGGTACTTTTCTCTTTGGTTTAAATATTGGTTTAACATTTTCTTTCAATACCAAGTTGACTTCTGTTTGTGTGCACAGACCTCGTCCTTCTGAAAAAACGCGAGGGAATTCGCCTTCCAAATCCGTAATAAATCTTTCTGTTTGCTTCGTGTTATAGTTCTCTATGATGTTAAGTTTGTTACAGAAAGAATTTACCGGTAATTCCCATAAATTAAACAATACGATCCAGTCTAACCCAAAGAGGTTTACTGAACCGGAGACCACATACACTTTCGATTTGTGAATTTTCCCCCTGAACTAAATGTTACATTTTAATTCACCTCTAAACTTAAGTCTTTTTCCTGACACCCCCCTGGCAATTTTGTCTGTGTTAGTCAACGGCGGGTAACCGATTTTTTTTTCCATGTTTGCTTGTTTATTAACGAGATATCACTTCCTGAATCGAGTAATAATTTTACGATCTGCTCATTTATTTTTACATTGAGGTATTTTCTTCTTTGATCCTCTTCAATTTTGTTTTTAGACAAAACTACGTCCACCTTTGTTTGAGGTTTTGATTTTACTTTTCTGTTTTGCCCGACAATAGGAACTTCTATGGCCTACACGCCCACAATTAAAACATATTGTATCCCTAAAGAAAAATCCTTCTTTATATGCTGTCCTACACACGAACTGCATATAATTTTTCTTTATTATTTTTGTATCTGTTGTCTTACAGTTTGTACTCGCGAAATGCTGTTCTCCTCAATCCGAGGATTATCTATTTTTATGTTTATAAGTCGCTGACATTCTTCCGTTATTTTTTTGTAGCGTAATCTTCGTATCCTGTTCCATGATAGTGAGGATTCTTGATCTAATTTCTTTGTCCTTCGGTGTCGTTAGACCCTGCACAAAAATTAGACACTTAAACATGTCGCTTGACAATTCCTTTAATTTAAACACCTCACACTGTGCGTTAACCACACCTGCATACGTGACAAAATCATCATCCTCTTGTTTTACGATATTTAGACACTTGTATCGTGTATGAAACAGACTATCTTTTTTATCGAAAATTTTCGACAAAATTTCTACTGTTTCGCTGAATGTAATTTCTTCTGGCTTCTTTGGGAGGATTAAATTCGCGTATTCTGTGTTTTCTTTTGTTCCCAACTTCTGCAACAATAGAGTGATTTTTTCCTCGTCGGGCCATTGTTCGCATCTTTTCGTAAATATTGTTTCAAACCTTCGAAAATAAGCCGGAAACGTTGAACCACTGTCATGGTCGTATTTAAATTCAGAGAGTGAATTTGAAAAAATCTAAAACCCGGGTCTTTTGTTGTCCTAGGTAATACGTCTTTCCAAAGTGATTTATTGTCGTTTGCCTGTTGTTTAAATAACTTTTCAAACCTTGCTTGTTGCTGAATAAATTGTTGTTGTTGGAATTGTTGCTGTAGCACCTTAATTAATTCCGCAATTTGTTCCATTCGGCCAACGTATCCACAAGAAAAAAATTTTCTCCAATTTATGTAGACAATAAATTTTTCTAAGTCCAAACAAGAGAGGGGGCAATTTCTTACTTTCTGGAAGTGTTGCACAAATTTTTCCTTTTCTAACTTTCCTCGTTAATAAGCGTTAAAACAAAAATGAGGGAAAAATTAATTACTTTCTGTAAGCGTCGAACAAGTCTTTCTAACGTTCTTCGTTAGTAAGTGTTATAAACTGTATTTTTTTCTGTTGTTTTAACTTGTACGGTAGTTTTGAATCTCGTCTCCAACTGATATGTCCCGGAAAGTTATATATTTGTTTGAAGTAGCAAAGTGGTTGTTGACTACTGTAACCGAGTAGGACAATCTAGCAGGTAACCGTAATCGACTGGTCTTCGCCGTAATGGTAGGCAATAGGCGTAGTTCTGTACCTCCACATCAGTCTGTATTTATGGCTGACTCCAGTCAATCATATTACTGTGAGGGGGAACCCAAATGTATGCATATTCATTACATCAATATTATAAATATATGCTGTGATAGGCAACGTTCGCAAAAACCTGTTTTATAGATTGTCAATTATGGTATTTCATTTAAAAAGTCTTAATTCTGATTGGTTACGCGAAAATGAGGCTGAAAAGGTGTTGAGATTAAATTTGATTGGCTAAATGAAGCATTGCTTTCTCAGACAAACTCCATTACCAGATGAGTAGACGTTAGGAAAAAGCCAAAATCAGAAGATGTAATCTTGCACATTCTCCCTTTTGTTAATTATTTGCAAAAATCACTGACATGTCGTCTGTATCTTTGACTCCATCTTTCCTGTCTGCTTAATTTTTTTCTTCGTATAATGTGATTTTTTGCTGCAATGTTTTTTTTGCTGACGAATACTTCATATTTATTTTCAGTGTGTATTTCCTGCTAATATTTATTTTATTTTTTCTAACTTTTGTTTCTGTTTTTAGTTTTTTTTCTCTTAGTGGTCTCTGTGTTTCTTTATTTTTTATCTTTGACTTGGTTGTTCATTCGTTTGATTATATTTTATTGTTTCCTCAATTCTTCAGTCAAATTTCTCTTTAAAGTGTTCATGTTTTTTTTTTCCTTGACTTTGCTTTTTTCTTTTCTTTTTCTTCCCACTCACTTAATTTTCCTTTTTGCCTTTCGTGCTTCATTTTTCATTTCTTTTTTAATCTTTATTTTGTCTTTCTCTTTTTTCTTTCTTTTTTCTTTTCCTCTCTTTTGTCTCTCTTTTCTCTATTTCTTTCATTTCGTTTACTTTTCAGTCTTATATCTTCGATTCCATTTTCGATTCATTCTTTTCCATTTTCGATTCATTTCTTCTTCATTCCTTTTCATTCTTTTTTTCATCTATACTTTTTCGTTTCTTTCTTTCTTTCTTTTGGCTCTGTTTCTATTTGTTCCTTCTTTTTTTTCTTTTCCTTTTCTTTACATCTTTTTTTCCATCAATTCTGATTTCTTCTCTTTCCTGTTTCCATTCATTCTTCTTTCTTTTCTTTAGTTTTCTCTCTTTTTCTTTCTCCATTCTTCTATTTTATTTTTTGTATCCTTTTCCCTTCTTTTATTTTCCTTAATTTTTACTTATTTCTTCTCTCTTTCGTTTCCATTTCTTCTTCTTTCTTTTCATTACTTTCCTTTCTTTTTCATTCTCCAGACATCCCTTTCTTTTCCTTTTTATCCTTTTTCTGTTTTTGTTTTTCGTTTTTCTTCTGTATTTTCTGTTCTTTCTCCTTTCCCCCACTTTCTCTTTCTTTCTTTCTGATCTCATTTCATTCTTTTCGCTTCATTCTTTTTCTTTCCTTTTCTTCCTTCTTACATTTTTCTTCACCTTTTCCTTTAGATTCTTTTTCTTTCTTACGTTCTTTCTTAAGACTGTTATTTTCTTTATATATATATATATATATTTCTTTTCATTTTTCTAATCAATTGTTTTTTTTTTTCATTTTCTTTCTCTGTTCAAATTGTTAATGTTTCTTTTATCAAATCGAATTTTATGTTGACACCTTTCCAGCCTCGTTTTCACGCAACCAATCAACATTAAAACACAGAGACAGTCTCATTTTTGAGTAGTTACTAGGTGTAAGCCTGTATTTCAAAAGTACAAATCAATTTCAAGTGACGTTATGGATTTGAAAAAAAAGCGTTTCTATGGACTGGTTGGCGTGATATTTGATCTTTCCTTGGTGACTTGTCAAATGCAAATATCTATCAATTTACTAACAGTTTTTCTTGTTCTTGTTTTCATTGTAAACAAATCTCGTGATGTTTTAAGTTTCAACTGTACCGATTCAAGCCTACCATAAGTCGAGCATTCTTAAACAACTGAGCAAGATCGTAACCATAACTAGCTTGTAATAATAATAATAATAATAATAATCCTTTTCTACCTCCAGGTGAGCAACACTAATCTCGGAGTAAGGTTTTACCTGCCGTCGCCTCCCTCTGTCTTTTCTACAAATACTTTCACGGCAACTGCTCCGACGAGCTACTTTCGCTGGTTCCCAAACTGCATGAATATAAACGTGCTCCTAGGTTGGCATCTCAGCCCCACCCTTTCATTTTCGAAACGGTTAAATGTAGCCGTCTCTTCTTCTCCAATAGCTTCATGTTTCGCACTTCCTGTCTGTGGAACTCCCTTCCTCTGACTTGCTTCCCTGATAGCTATAATCTCCAGTTGTTCAAATGCAATGTCAATCGACATCTTCAGATGCCTTGATCTATTTCTTGTCCTTCTCTTCATCCTTTCCTCTATCACACATTTTTACTCCTCTTGCTCCCACTCTCTGTAACCTCTTGCGTACTAGTGGCACTCCCGCCTTGCTTGGGGTGAAATGCTTAAAAAAAAATCAGTGGCTAGATCTACTGCTAGGAAAATTGTTTCACTGTATTGTGTCATATATTTTTCTCCTCAGACTCCATCTTGCACATTTATAAATTTGCCATTCGTCCGTCCATTAAATACTGCTTCCATGTCTGGGCTGCTGTATATATTGGTATTCTTGACAAAATTCAAAGAAGAGTCTGTAGTGGATTCAGACCTGGCATCTCAATCTCAAAATTTTTATTTTCTAGTGCGGCAACTGCATGAATTCCACCATACTACTAGATTGTCAACTAGGTCTCACCTTTGTACTGTTGAACTAGCTAAATGCAACGGTAACTTCTATTCTAACAATTTATTTTTTCCCACTCCTCGCCTTCCGATTTTTTACTCCCTACCATTCATAATATGAGACACCTAGTGAGGTGCAAACTCAATTTGATCATGATTGACAAGACCAGTTGGAGAATCATCATATTATCGCTTTTCTCTGGCACTCCTTATTAGTGGAACCAGTAATAAGGAGTGTCAGAAAAAAGCGATAATATCAACAAAATTGCAATATGAGCTCTGGTAAAAACATGTATTGATAACAGCAAAAAATTGCAATATGAGCACTGTTAAAAACCGTTGCTGATGACATCAGGTTTATAATACCCAGAAATTCATACAGAGAACGACTTTATTCACTGTGCCATGTGTCCTCAAGGACACATGTCACAGTGGATGAAGGCGTTAGTTAGATCCAGTAACAGGGGTGTGAGTTCAATACCCGGTTAAGGCAGTGGAGAGAGATAACTGATAACTGACATTAAAACATGGCCGTGGAACTAGAACAGTCTACCCCAGTGAGCGAAATAAAGGGTTCAGTTCGACATTCCAAGGCCGAAGCGTACAATGGCCGAAACGTTGTAATAACATATGGCGAGAAAGATGAGGACAATAGTCTGAATAATGTAAATAGTGAACTCAATGACCTTGACTGCTTAGTAGGTGGTAATTTCTGGTTGCCTCTTCTCTTTAACCTTGTGTCTTACTAATCAGGTACTTTTCATAATAGGCACCTTGTCATGAGTGCCTGAAAGCCGGAGTTACATAAGGTTTTGAATTCAAGGTTTTCCTTCTTTCTCCTAGACTAGTTGCCAACCAAGGCTAAAAAGCCGTGTCATGCCTGCTATTCGACCAATAACAGGGCGTGGAAGAGACGGATTCATATATTTGCCGAAGTTATTTACGGGAAAGGGTATGAACTTGGCTTCTATTTGAACTCATCTCAGCGATTTTCTCTGCAGAGCCACCAACCGTTGCACATTAATACATGTACGTATCTATTTCTCTCTCTCCATATATATATACTATATATATATATATATATATATATATATATTAAATCGTTTTCAAGTTCGGTGTGGCTGCTCTCCCAAAAACGTAACGTTTTTCCATGGCGTATCACGTTGAAACACAGCTTCCCGTACGATCACCGAAGTTAAGCAACATCGATCCTAGTCAGTTTTTAGATGGGGGGGGTCTTAGGCATATCAGGTGTTGTAAGCTTCAATATGAGAGTGATATGGCTTACGGCCATATCTCAGTGAAACACCTGTTCCCTACGATCACCGAAGTTAAGCAACGTCGAGCCTGACAAGTTCTTAAATGAGTGACCGCTAGGGAATACCATGGGCTGTTAACTTCAATGTGAGAATGGTATGGCTTACGGCACTTGTTCCCCTCTGATCACTGAAGTTAAGCAACGTCGAGCCTATCAGTATCTAGATGGGAGACCTCTGAAAGATATCTGGTGCTGTAAGCTTCAATGTGAGAGTGGTATGGCTTACGGTCATATCACAGTGAAACACCTGTTCCCGTACGATCAGCGAAGTTAAGCAACGTCGAGACTGGCTAGTTCCTAAATGAGGGATCGCTTTGGAATACCATGTGTTATAAACTCGTATGAGCGGGTGGTGTAGTGGATAAAGGCTCAGAAATGAAAATCGGACAGTCGCCATCCAATTGTCGTCGGGTTCGTTGTATTCAGGTAAGCGCAAATAAGCCTGGGAGAGATAGGAATCCGCCTTTTTTCCCCACATCAGCTGTGGGTACGAATTGTATAAGTAAATCATTATTGTCTCTAAAAATTCTTTCAATCTGAAAGAAAAATATTTTCTGGTTTTAAATATCTTGCAAAAGGTAAAAAAATACATTATACATCAATCAATTGATCGTAGATGAGTTTCATTTTTTTAATTACAGCGGTTCATAGCTTTACAGCTGTGGCACAATATACGACATTCACGGAGTCGAAACAGGCTCATTTAATGGCCAGGGGAAAATTTCCACAGAAACGGCTCTTTTACCATAAGAAATGCTACTTTGGAAAATAGAAAACTGAGGGTGATTTCCTAAGCAAAACCATGTTGACCTCTTCGAGTTAAGTGTCAAGAGTTATTTATCCTCCATTTCCTCCTAAATTTAACTTCCTGACATTTTCCTTGAGGGGACTTTATCCTTGGGTGTGTGAATTTTACTTTAAAAATATTTAAATTTATCCATAGTTTTGAGCATATGCTTTCGGAACCAGGCGCAAGTGTATATATATATATATATATATATATATATATATATATATATATCATGAATTATTCATACAAAAACAAATTTAATGATTTAATTGGCGAAAATATTTAAAATGAAAAGATCCTGGTTTCTATATCCATTAGTTTTATTTTACTATGCAAACATCTTCTGGTATGGAATAGATGTTGTTCTTGTTTTTTCTCTCAGTAATAAGAAGACAACGAAAATATATATATCCGAAAATGCTATTGAAATGAGTTATTGTTTCTGGATATATATTTGATTTTAAATTTTATATATATAATTTTTTATAAATTTTCTGTGTCATATAACTATATATAATATAATGTCGCATATTATCCACTTGGATCATTATTTTAATTTCATAAACAAAAATTTACAAATTCATGAATTATTCATAAAAAACAAATGCAAAGGTTAATGATTTAATTGGCGAGAAATCCATCGTCGCAAACAATTCAAATAATATACAAAAACCCCGAACCTGTTATGAATGAAAAGATCCTTGTTTCTATAAATTTCTGCTGCATTAGTTCTTATTTTTACTACAAGCTTTCGTCTGTTCCAAGAACAACATCTATTCCATACCTGAAGATGTCTGTATGTGTGTATATATATATATATATATATATATATATACACACACACACACACACACACACACATATATATATATATATATTATAAATTAACTGATTTAAAAATATGGTTTCTTCGCTAAACAGGAATTACCATGTTTCAAAAACCGAAGCTAAAAACTTCAAATTTAATTATATAATTAAATTAAATGCATTAGTTCTGTTTCATCTACAAGCGAATTTTCAAAAACTAGCTTGAAGATGTAACAGACCTAATGCTTTTAATTTAATTATATAATTAAATGTGAAGTTTTTAGCTTCGGTTTTTTGAAACATGGTAATTCCTGTGTAAAAACAATAAAATCAATTAAATTTTAAATTTATGTTAAAATTTAACATTTAGAACTGTTTTGTGAAAAAATACAACACCAGATTATATATCTTATTGTTCTGTTATATATATATATATATATATATATATATATATATATATATAGCGTATGTAGCTATTTGTGGTCTTTATCACGTGGATTACCGGTGTAGTCGCATTTTCTTGTAAATGTAAGAGAAAGATAGATGAACAGCATATCCTTGTCTATATATATATATATATATATATATATATATATATATATATATATATATATATATATATATATATATATATCGAGAGAGAGTGAAAAAATACCTGTGTGAAAAATGGAGGTAAAAATTATTCATCTATGTGAGAGTGTTTATGTTTTTTTTTTTTTTTGTTAGCCTAATGAAAAATTTTCACAAAACGTTTAAAGTTTTTGGAGCATCAAAGGAAGGGATGAATTCATCGTCGTTGCTTCTTCAAACAAACACGCGATTCACTGCACGAGATATAAGTGGCGTTTACCAGTTGATGTGTGTGTGTGTGCGTGTGTGTGTATGCGTGCGTTTAACGGATAGCTGCAAGCTTACTTTGCTTGTTTCGTTTGAGTATAAAGGTAAATTTTACCTGAAATGCAACATCTTTTTCTTCCTGCCTGCATTTTTCTTCTTTTCATCTTCTTCTTCACTTCTTATCTTTACATCAACTTCTCTTTGATCATCTTTATTTATTATCATTTGATTTCTTTCTTTCTTTCTTTCTTTCTTATACTCAACATTTGATTGTTTGTTTCTTTCTTTCTTCTCATGTCAATATTTTTTCTTCGGTTTTTCTTTCTTTTTTCTTTCTTTTTTGTACTAATCATTGTTTGCTGATTACTTTCTTTATGCCAGTGTTTTACCATTTTTTTCTTATAGCAAATATTTATCTTTTTCTTTTTTTTTATTCTTCGTTCTTTCTTCCTTTCTTCTTTCCATTCTTTCTTTCTTTCTTTCTTTCTTTCTACCTTCTCTCTTTCGTCCTTCGTTCTTTCTTTCTTTCTTTCTTTCTTTCTTTCTTTCTTTCTTTCTTCTGTCTTTTTTCCTTCTTTCCTTCCTTTGTTCGTTCTTTCTTTCTTTCTTATACTCATTATTTGATTCTTTGTTTTCTTCTTTCTTTCTTCCCCTCTGATTTCCTTTCTTTCATTTATTCATTATTTCTTTCCTTCGTTCTTTCTTTTTCTTTCTTTCTTTCTTTCGTTCTTTCTGTCTTTCGTTCTTTCTTTCTTTCTTTCTTTCTTTCTTTCTTTCTTTCTTTCGTTCTTTCGTTCTTTCTTTCTTTCTTTCTTTCTTTCTTTTACCACTATTTATATTCATATTTCTTTTTATTATTTTCTTTATCACCATCATAAGCTCCTCCACACCACAACATTCACAATCATATTTTCACATTTACCTTCATTCATTTTCTTCAGTTTTTCCTTTCCTCTTTTTCTCAATTTTTTTAAATGCACCGTATCTGTCAGTTTTCCCGCCAAATTCTCACACACCTCCCCGTGCCACCCACCACCGGTCATAGTCTTTGTCAATACCTATCGATTTCATTTCAGCAGAAGCCTTACATCTACTGAGATTACGGCTAGACATTAAGAGTGCGCATGCGCACCGGAAACTTAGCACACAGCAAAGAACAAGCGACCATCTTTCGTCAATGTCCTTAACAGCTATTAATTCTTAAACATGATTACGCCAGGATATTCAGATGGGCGAATATTTAGAAGTTTTAATTATTTTTTTCGTAACTGGTTACAATTTAGGAACATACATTTATTTTTAATTAAATTACTAAATGCGCGGTATTAAGAATTGAAACTTTTGAGTTAGAAGCGATGTTTAGGAATGTATCCAAAAATAGAAATATATACATACGTCATTTGAAACGTCAATCAAAAGAACATATCCATTTACATTTTGTTAATACCTCCCCCCGCCTAAGCAAGGCAATAAAGTCATTAAGACGCAAGGGGTTACTGAGTGTGAAAGAAGAGGTGAGAGAAAACACTATTAAGAAGAGAGAACAGTAAAAGAAGAATTAAGAAGACAGAAGATAAAGATTGACATTGAATTTAAATTTTCAAAGATCAAAGTTGACTTGAAAGCAAGAAGCCGAAGGAATTTCCGCAAATGAGAAGTGGGAAAGAAGAAAATGTTAGTATAAAACTTGCAATTATATCTGGCCATTTCAGCTGTAAAATCATCATTTTACAGTTGAAAGGGCCAGACCTTGCCACCAATCCAGTACTGCGTTTAAATTTATAACGTCTATGTACCATAGCAGAAAGTAATATTTATTTTTTTGTTTTAATAAAAAAAATGGCACAAAGCCAAAAGCGGGAATAAGGGAAGGCTGCTCTTCAATCTCTCTTATCTTCAACTTAGTTAACCACAGACATACCACAGTATTCCTTAGACCAAGTGAACTGCAGAAATGAATGTCTTAATGGGGAAGATGAACTTTTGTCTCTCGTTTTCATTTGCTTTTTTAATTTTAATGTTTTTAACATGAATTTTGGTCAGACCTTGTGTTGGTCAAACAATCTGTTTTAAGCTGTTATTTAAGATAAGGACTGGATGGATTCATCTTGCTCCGAATTCTCTTGGTCATTTTGACAGTTTTTTGGTTCCTGGAAAGATGATGTGTCTGTTAAGTGTTTACTATTTGGTTCTTAGAGAGTGAATGAGTATGATATGTGCAAGTGTGTATATTACTATGGGTGTGTGTTATCATTTGGCTCATTAGGGAGTGAGTGAGTATGATGTGTGTATATTAGTGTGGGTGTGTGTATAAGTGTGAGGCCTCAACACCTCCGTAAGCGTGTCTGTTTTGTGTGGATGAGAAATGTGGGTAGGTCCTGATTTGTGGGGTTATATATTAATACTATCTATATTGTTAAATTTGTGGTTTAGCCCGACTAGATAGTTTGTTTTTAAAAGCCGAATCCACTTATTCCCATGGCACTCTAAAATCTTTCTAATGTTATCTGCTCTGAACTTTTCTATTCTGTCAATTATAGTGAATTTGGCATGGGTTTTAAAATCGCGTTTTTCTAGGCGGAAATGTTGTTCTACAGGTAATAATTTTTCATGGGTAGTCGACTTAATTCGATTGCGATAATTATTAATTCTGTAGTGAAAGGGCCATTCAGATTTTCCTACATATTGTTTCTGGCATAGTGTGCATTCTCGGAGGTAAATTATGTTATGACTTCTCCAGTTAGAGTTGTGGTAGATTTTGAAAGTAGATTTAGTGACTGAGCTAGTGAATGAATTTGTCTAATGTGGTTACAGCATAAGCACCTTTTGTTGTTACATGGTTGGGAAAATCCTATTGTTTTTGTTTTGGGTTTATTACGGATTACGTTTTCCCCTGAAATGGGGTTACTACCTATAATTTCTTGTAGGTTCTTAGGTTTACGATATGCTACAAGGCCGGGTTCCTCAATCAATTTTTTAGGTCTGATTTAAGATGTAACATTTTTCAGCGACTTTTGATTATTTGGGATAGTGGAGGTAGAGTGGGGTTGAAACGTTTACTAGAGAGATGCGGCTGGGTTTATTTTTAATCTTATACCATTAGGGTGTCCTCTGTAGGAGTGAAAACTGCTTTATACATATATATATATATATATATATATATATATATATATATATATTCAAAATTATAACATGCATGTTATAACATCACTACAAAAATTACAATTTTGTTTCAACACTACTGGTGTCTTATCAAGTGATGGCGTTGCTTATATATATATATATATATATATATATATATATATATATATATATATATATTGATTGTTTTGCAAAAAAAATCCATACCTACAACGGAGAATTCTAAAAAGCGCATTCACGCGTGCTTTGAAAATTACATTCACACCGATCATAATTACAATAAGTTTGTCATCAGAATTCACCCCTGGGAATAATCTGGCAGGAGATCGAAAGTATTTGGGTAAAGAAAAACAATAGTGCCTTCCTTGATGAATTTCAGTTTAATATCAAGAAGTTAATTAGGAAAGTGTTGTGTATGATACTCCTAATTTACATAAGACTACCGACCATATAAATATTTGGTACCGGAAGACAAGGGAAGATAGTAGAGATTAAGAAATTGAATCCAGAGACTCTGCCCGACTGATTTAAACCCATTATGTTCCCAAGAATATACCAAACTAACTGTAAATATTGTGCCATTCTTTGTTTCAATACATTTTGTTAACGTACATTTTGTGTTGTATTATTCCATGCTTATTTAAGCTTCAACAGAAAGTGGAAAGAGTTCCACAAAGGCCAAATGCTAGAGAAGAAACTGTTAGCATGGAACTCACTCACCCCCCTATATATATTAATAAATTGGTCGCTTTTTCCTTTTTTTTATCTATCAATGTTCACGGTGTACGAATCTCAATTCTTTGGCCACTACAGCAAAAGTCGGAAAATTTAGAATAAGGTAATTTTAGTCGAGATTCGAACTCATACCGTCTGTCTCGAATTCTATAGAATGTCAATTCAAGTACTTTTTGGAGATTTTCTTTTTTCACTTCGATTTCATGCAGTTTATTTGAGTAGCCAAAATGTGTCGTCTCATGTCACTGTGATAAAAAGTGACACACACACACACACACACACACATATATATATATATATATATATATATATATATAAACTAACACACATACACACAGACATACACACACACACACGCATATATATATATATATATATATATATATATTCATCGTTGTGGTTTCTCAGACGTAATTTAGGATTTTATTTACTTTTCTTTCTTTTTACATTTCTTTCTTTCTTACAAACCTTTTAATTTATTTTCTCCTTTTTTTCTTTCTCTCGTTTTTTGTTTCGTGCCGGTTTTTTTTTTTTTTTCCTCTTTAGTTTTTATCTTTCTCCCAAATATTTTCTTATCAAATTCCCCCTTTCTTTCTTTTTTCCCTACTTTCGTTCTTTTCCTGCTTTCTTTATTATTTCTTTTTCTTTCCAAGTTCTCCTCTCTTAATTTCTCATTCGACTTCTCTCTTGTAATAACGCACTTCTCCTTCTCCGCGCCTCTTGTACTTTTTCTCTATTCAGCTTACCTCTTCTTCCTCCACCAAACCTACTTCCACTTTCACTTTTACTTTCACTTTCATTTTCCAGTTGTCTCTTTTTCCCGCCTTCCAACTGTCATTCCCCTTTTAAGCTTCCTTTCGTATCCAGTTCCTTGTTTACTTACGAAGCAAGATTATAGATTTTTACATCACCCATCGGCTGTCAAATCACAGCGCTGAATCCTATTTTGTTTTGTTCCATTTTCTCGGCCATCCTTACATTTCCTTTAATATAGCGTCGTGTATTTGGTTGGCTGCTTTATAAGAGGCACGTACAGAGGCTCATCGGGTAAAGATATCGATTCTTAAAATCAACAGTTTCTGTATAAATAGCTACCATTGTTCTTGAATAATGTTTTCTCCGTTTTAAATCCGAAAGCAGATCCGACGGGGTTTAGAACCTTTGTTGTTTTACCTATTTTTTTTTCAGAATGAAAATCAGTTTATTTACTTGGCTAACACAATTTCTGTCAGTTATACGCTAGTAATATATTTCTTTGTGGAAATATTTAACTGCGTAGAAATCACAATATTAGACATAGAAAACCAACAATACTTGTCTATTATAGTAAGTGAGCTTTGATTTGATGTAATTATATTTGCACTATTATGTAGATACGCATAGAGAATCCATATTCTGTTTGTAAATCCAGACCACTAATAATACCTTCCTTTCTCTTCAATGTTAACATACAGGTATAAATTTGCCGTCGTAAAGGCTAATACATTCGTTTTTTGGTTTGGTTTGGTTTCTTTTATGGTATATTAACCTCAATGGGTTATTTAATGCCGAAAAGATTTTTATTGCTAGTAATATTTTCCTTCAAAAATGTATTGCAGCTAATATTTTCCTTCAAAAAATGTATGGCTGGTAAAATTATTTCCTTCAAAAATGTATTGCTGGTAATATTTTTTTTCTTCAAAAATGTATGGCTGGTAAAATTATTTCCTTCAAAAATGTATTGCTGGTAATATTTTTTCCTTCAAAAATGTATTGCTGGTAATATTTTTACCTCGCTCCTCAAAACCTCCTGATCAGAGGTCTTGCTATTGGCCAGGACGCGGACGTAGTTTATCATCTTACCCAGGACGGTCGTTTCTTGGTTTTCAATGTCAATATGCAAATGTAACGTTTACGAAATACACGCTAATAAGCAGGCAAAACTAAATTTCTCATCTATGACTTTATCGTTTATTTAACTTTGAATTTCAGCCTTTAATAACGACTAGTAAGGATGCTGGAG